CTACAAATCTCTACCCCCTCGACTTTAAATGGAACATCAATAGTTTTCTTTCTATTACTAAATACCATATAATTAGTTTTCTCTAAATTTAATGACAACTTATTAAGTCTAAACCAAGTTTGTATTTCAACAAATTCCGTTTGCATCCTTTCTAACATCCGTTCTATATCTTTACCCAAACAAAAAAAGTAGTATCATCTGCAAATAATACACATTTGAAAAACTGACACATTTACCWAATCATTCACATACAGTATAAACAACTTTGGTCCAAGTACAGAACCCTGAGGAACTCCACATGTTATGTTACAAAGTTCAGTTATTTAAAGTCTTTRTTGTGCTCATGGTTATTTGGGGTTCAAGCAGCTGCCAGAATTTAGTTGGAAACATCCAAAAGTTTGTGAATCGCTGACCGTGACAATATTTTTGCTTCTATTACATTTCATATAGTGCAGAGACAGGGTTGTTGTTTTTGTTACCTTTCATGCCATAGTAGGAGAATCGTTCACAGAACTCATTCACCACCACGAAGCAGATGCTGAGTGGGTAATTAGTCCCACACAGTTTCTACAAGAAGAAAAGTTCAATTTCAGAAACCTTTTTATAAACAACATGTACTACAGTAGAAAAATAATAATAATAATAACAATAAAAGATTTCAGTCAATTAAAATCGAACCCTGGCAGATCCAATCACAGAGCCTCTGCTGTAAACTGAGAGGAATGCTGCTTGTGTTAGTTCATCTAACACCCAAGTTAAACATTACATAGACAGTTAACATATTTTAAAATATAATCAGCTGAACAAACAGAAAATGTTGGATTTATTCCCAGTTCTGTACCTTTACAGTATTCTCTTCCTGTTGGTTCTTTCTGCAGCAACTACACACTTGTCACATTTTACACTGATTTATGCTTAACTGTTGCAACTTGAGTGCATTTTAAATGATGTACAGTGCAAAAAAAAATCTGGCAAAAACAGAATTACTTGATTCTGTAGGATATTAATTAATCCTAAGACAAATTGTTTCGCTAGATCTGTAAGAAAATTACTGAAAATTGCAAAACCCCTGGGATGAMGAAAAAATGTCAGCTTCAGGATCATTAGAAATCTCTTAAAGTTGGTGAAAAAAATCCTGTCTAAGACTATCAGAAGATGTAAATTTACTCAAAACTAGCTGCCATACTTATTAATTAATTAATTGATTTTTCCATATGTTGACCATGATGATCTAAAACCCACTTTAAAAACTAAAGAGAAAATTATTGATCCAATTCTTCCATTAACTTCAAAACCAGCAGTAAAATCTAACAACTTTCTGAAAAAACGTCAATAATCGACAAGAAACTTGATGTTTTACAAGTCTTTTAGTTTGAATAAAGACCTTTAAAGGGGTCCCTGGTTGGTTGTAACATTAGACTTTATATGATAAACATATATTTTAACTGTAAAATAAAGACTGTAAAAATACTGTAGGCTGTTTAGTTTTTATAATTTTTAAACTAAAAGATAAAAAATATATTTGGGGCCATTTTATTTGCACGCAAAGCATTCTGGGTAAATGATGACGTGGATAGGTCCTCGGTGCGAGGC